AAGAGACCCTGTGTTCAGTGGCAAAAGTATAGAAACAACAAATGTCAAATGGTAGGGGGCTGCCCACTTGTCGGTGGCAAGTTGCAGGTTGTGCAGTCTGTTGCTGTTCGCGCTGTCTTAAAGTGGCAACACTTGTGTGTGAAATGTGCGAGGCGAAGGCGACAACGATGTCGCGACTTGGCCAAGAGCCCGCGCCCACCACCAGAGGACGAGGCAGGCAGATGGGGTATGGACATAGACACACACACAACTTAAGAGCAACATCACCCCAAACCTCCCGCCGATTCGCGTGTGTCCTTCAGCTTAACTGCTACTGACTAATGGGCGTGGCAACGGTACGGTGTGCAACAGTTAATCATTTAGATGGTGGGCGCAATGGGGCTAAGGGGAAATGCAGATCTTAGGTGAGAGAACACTTTGGACATGTCGGGCGTGGGGGCTGAACGGAAACGGATGGGACAATATGGACAGGACGGACAGTGTAATCAGGTCGCGGCGTCTGGGAGTGGCTCACGCAGGGAAGTCCATTAAAGCGAGTGCTGGGACCCACGTACATAACTTCCAATTGAGACCCAAAGAAAAAGAGATATGCAATCATTCCCGCCACAGTTGTTCTCTATTTAAAATTTGAATACATTTAACCAGAATTTTCCTCAACAGCCTCTCAATGAACTAAGAATGTTTCACTTGAATCATGTTCATTTTATTTTGCACACAAAGTTATGGCGTACCCAGCCTGCACCCTCCTTTATCCCACCCACATGGTGTAAGTGCCAAACACTCGCAGGCAATGCCGATATATGGTACCCATGGCAACAAATGTTTAATTAGCTCTTCTATGACATCTCTACGTACACATGTGTACATATACATATGTATGGATGCATGTATGAATCGTAGGAATCAGTGTATGCGGTCTCTGGTCTGTCTCCACCACCCCAACACCCGTTGATAAGCTGCATAGGCGCTTTTGTTTGGAGTTAAGCTCTCCCATTCCCTGGCTCTCGCTTCCCCACAATGTCACACAGACACAGACATTCGCTCACCGCATTCACTCACTCACTCACTCACTCACACACACAAGCACACTCACTCATGATACACAAATCCCAACACGTGCCAATTGTCGCTCAGATTCGTTTTTCTCTTTGCGTGTGTTTTTTTTCTCGTTGGGCATCAAACACAAGGTTCGGGTCATTAAGTAAAGAGAGACAGTAAGAGAGAGAGGAAGAGTGAGAGAGATATAAAGCGTAAACAGTCAAAGCACAACCTGGGATACCAGTCCAAGGTTTATTAAATGCAAGGTGAAAGGACAGCCACAGAGAATCAACACACACGGCCTTCCCTGCTATTTCTATGTACCTTGCAGCAGTAAACAAAAAAAAGGAACCCTTGTAAAAGTACGAAGCGAATTATTTTGCAAACAAAAGTGCGCACGCCAAACGAACGAGGGGGGAAGTGATTTACTTTATCGATAGACATAAAACAATTTGGCTGCCCCTCAATGACAGTTCTCTCGCTCTCCTCCCACCCAACCCACACTCCACAGTCTTCCCCTTCAACCGTTGGCTATCGGTCTGTCTCTGTCCGTCTCTTTACAGCCGCCTCTTGCCATCACCCTTAAGGCTGGCAGAACATCTGTCCTGGGATGAATGCTGTGTGTGTGTGTGTGCTTTTTCGCTCGATGCCTTTTGTTCGGTTTTCTGGTTTTCGGTTTTTATAAGGCATAAAAATTACACATGTGCCTTCGCGCTCAGGATCCCTTTGCTTTCCAGGTCCTTGAGCAAAATCAGAACACCAAAAAAAAGAACCCTAAAACTTTCGTTCTCGTCTTATAATTCGTATGGAAGAAAAGGCTATATTTTGCATTCGTGTTGATTCTTGCTGCAAGAACAAAAGGAGGAAGTCTGTGCCGAGAGAAAAACTAGAGAAACCTAAAGAGAGGGTGTGCCTATAGTCGAAATGTCGTCTAGGGATATTGTTGTTTATTTTTTTGCTACACAATCTGCTTCTCTGCTCTTCTCCTTCTATTTTCCACCTTGTTCACTTTTTGCATACAAAATGGGAACAGGGCTACCCATCCACCTACTCTTTCGTGCAAGGACCCTCTTCTAAGGGTGTCCTTTCTCTAACTGTTGCTGATTTATGGTCTGGCATAAAGCACGAATCGGGTTTGAGACGCAGGAATGTTGGATGACTGTTTAGTTTGCATGTTGTTCTCCACCGTCCACCGTCCCCTGTCCCAGCCCCCTACAAGCCCACCACCCCTTTGGATCCTTTCCCCAGCTACTTTTATGCTGCTCGGTGTGTCTTTTGTAGCATTAAAATTACATAATAAAATGAATAATTTCGACATAAAAAATAAAATCCCCAGAGAGATTTCATTCCGCCCAAGGCTCCAGCCAATCTCTTGCCATCTCTCTTTCTGCCTCTCTTTATATTCCGTCTCCTATCGACCCATACACACACACACACACACACTAAAACACCGACCGACCGCACACCGCAATTTGATGTCTAACTATACGTATGGCATATCAATTAGGTGTGTAGGTCAATAGTTTAAGTGGGCCAATGATGATGATGATGATTACGGCAGATGAGGTGAGGTGAAGCGGCTCTATGACTTTTTGGCATCATGGCCAAAAGAGGATTCTCTCTGTCAGTGTGTGTGTGTTGTCTCTTGTCGAATCATTCGGTTTGATAAGGAGACTATTTATCTCTGGCGACACAACACCATCATGTACAATTATGAATTTATTCTTAGTCATTTTTTCTACTGTTTTGTTCTGTGTTTATTCCTTTTTCTTCATTGCAGGCCGTTACTCTTGCCATTTTCCTATTGGTTTCCTTTACAATATCCATTCCCCTCTCCAATCATAATTTATAAACCGATTTGATTTAAATCGTTATTCAGTGGCCAATCTTAGAATCTTTCTCTCCATCTTTTTACCTCCTTTTCCCTCCTTTGCCACTTAGATATTCATAACTGACACACAGCCAGCAGAAATTTTAATAATTCAACTCTATAATATGCACAAGGCGTTGCAGGCGGTGATTCGGGTGAAATTCGCTTCTTGGCCAATGCCAAAAGCAGCCGCCAATGATAGAAAGGCGGCTAAGAATGGGACAGACCCAAAATGCAATAGAACGAGCGGGGGCGAAGGCACTGCAGTAGCCAAGGACGGGTGTGTGTGTGTGTGTGTGTGTGGTGATGGTTGGGGGGTTTGACGCAGCCAGAACCCACAAAAACCAAAAAGTTTTGCAGTCGTGTGTTAGTGGCTGCCACACAGGGGCAGGGGTTAGGGTAAGCGTTAGGGGTTTTTAGGGGATGCCACAGAGTGCACCAGTGGAAGAGGGGGTCGGGCAATGGAAGAGAGTCGCCCTGGTAAACCGCTCGCTCTAGACACACATTAAAATTTCAATTTTGGAGAAATTAAAATTTTATCAGTTTGTTGAGTGTGTCGCACACGTTTTGTACGTTTTTCTAACCGACACAGAGACAGACAGGCGACCATAGGGCAAAGTCATAAAATTACCAAGAACTGAAAGCGAGGGGACAGGGGCCCAGGTGTTGCACAGTCAAATTTTGAATATACATGTATTATGGGATCTGAGAATCGTGAAAATACGATCGATCGCAAGTTCGTCCTTCATCTCGACCAGAAAATGAGGGCTCAAGACTTTCACGACCCCATTATGGAGCCGCGCCCCACCTCGCGACCCAAAAGGAAGCTCTAAGGTCTAAAGAAATCTGTTATGGTTAAACTTTCATGGAAGCGTGGCAGAGTATAAGAATGTACTCTTCGTACAGGCAAAAAAAAAAAAAAAAAACGAAGCAAAGTTTTCGACAAATTGCAGCGAAAAGTGCACAATGGCTTAGCCATGGGGAAACAGTGCGTGGCGACGGCGACGAAGACGAAGGCCCGCCGCCCCAAGAAAAAGAAGAGCAACAAAAAGGCGAAACAAGACACACACAAAAAAAACACGTAGATTTTTCTACTTAGCTCAAGGTGGAGGGGTGGATTGGCGAGAAGACTAGGCAGAGAGAAAGAGAGAGGAAACCGTCTGCAGGCAGCCGAAGCAGAGGAGGCAAAGAAAAACCAGCAAAACTTGGCAGCACAGCAGCTCTCTCGCTCTGTTTATTGCATGGCGCTAAAAGCAAGTAACTGGGGACCGTTTTTGCATACCCTCGGTAGGTAGCTAGCTATTATTGACGTTGCAAATATTAAAAACTAGCTGATAAATATCAAAAATTGTTTCAAAATGAAGAGAGAAGAAACATATAAGTCGCATAACTGTTTCTTTTTGTTTGCTTGTGTATTTGCAGAGTGTGCAATGCTTCGACTCCGTTTTAGGAATCCCTCTTTTTATTTTGTTGGCGCGACTGCTCTTAGGACGTATCTGTGTGTCTGTGTGTCTATGTTTCCATGTTTGTTCGTGTGTGTTTGTGTGCAGTAAATGTGGGCGTACAATTTTCAATTATGCATTTTAGTGGCCGCAGCAGCTCATTGACAATAAAAAGAAATACAACCAGGAACAGAGAAAACGAAAAAGTAATGCAAAAGTGGAGTGAGAGGTGGGAGTGCAAAATAAAAGGGTTACAGAAATGAGACAAGTTATTGCAAGAGAGATTTCGTACCGATTTCTATCCATTGTGCAACCACCAACGAAAAAGGTCTCAGATTTGAAATCATTGAATCTAATTTTCGACTGAAAGTTTGATTATTACTAGTAAGCTCTTCGACATTTTCAAGCATATCATAATGATACTGATAGAAACAATAGTAAATACCCAAAAATGTATTTATTTTTCAAATTTCCAGTATTTCATGAAAAAAGAGGGGGAACGTTGAGAGTCGCCTTCAAAAGCGACTCTACTTTTTTATGCATACGTGTGTATGTACGAATGGTCTTCCAGGTTCGACTGAATGGGAGATTAACTGGGAGAATTACTACTAATAGGTTTAATATTATAAACGTAATAGGGGGGGACTTACCGTGGTTTAGTTAGTTTCTTCATATGTATATCCATATCCTGCTGTGCTCGTTGGTGAAGTTAAAGGTGTTGTTTTTGGGTTCGCGTTCGCGCTACTCATAGAACGCATCCCCCATCCACCCGCTTATGGGGCGTGGCGGCTACTGTTGAGTGATGATTAATCCGAGATAAGATATCTGGGAGGAGTTAGCGGCTGCCCAAGTAGCTCTCTGTGCGCAGTCCAGTTCCTGTGTCTGTGTCTGTTTCTGATCCTATTCCTATTCCCCTGGCCTCTGGGGAGGCGGAGGCACTTGCTTGTTGTTGTGGTTGTTGTTGTTGTGGTGATTGTTGTAAGGCGATGATGTATTTTTCCAGGCACCGCATGAGTTGTAGGTGTCTTTTGTTGGCAGGTTACTAGCGTTGGTGTTTTAGTTTTTTGTTGATTTATTTGAATTTAATTGGTGTTTTTACATTACATTTAATCTTTAACGTTTAACAATTTAATGATTCATTATTGATAATATTGCTCGATTCGCTGTTGGTTGAGGTTGTTGTTGTTTAACATTAGTTTTGTTTTTGTTTTTGGGGTGTTTGTTGTTGTTGTTGCTTAAGCACTTGGGGCGCATTTACCATATACAAAAATTTGTTTATTTTACTCATTTGATTAATACCTAAGAAATACGATTTAGGATCAATTGGTTTGTTTTTTGTTTTTAATATTTGAAATCTCTAATATTTCTAATAATTAGCTGACGTTTTTTGTTCTATTAAGAATACTTTTTTTTTTTTTAATTTGCACTTGACCTTTTTTTATGTTTTTTCTTATTTGTTTCTTTGCTTGTTTTCTTTGTTCTTGTTTAAAGTAATTTTTTACTAAAGTAATTGCGTTTGCTGTTGATTTGATTTTTCAAGCGGATTGTAAAAATTGTTTAGAGTATTTGATATAAGAAATATATATATATTTGTATTCTATATACTATGATCGTGTGTGGCTATATTTAATAAGATTTGATTGCACCGTTAGAATGTACTTTAACGCACTTTAACCACGATTCTCCGCCACGAGTCGTCATCAGCCTGCTCCTCCTCCTGTTGTATATACCATCCATATCGAAATTGTATGTGCTATGGCTAAGTAATATGTATGTATGTATATAGGCTGTATATAATGCTTGTATATAATAATAACTATTGGAAGGCGTACTTTTATAGGCTCTCTAAAGTTTATGCTTCTTTTCTTCTTTTTTTTTCTCTGTAAAGCTAATGGCTACTTCTGTGTTAATGCGATTCGTAATAAACTTTGCTTTGCTTTTCTTTTCTTTCCTTTTTGTTTTTGTGTTGTAACTACATGTTTAACTTTTTGTTGCTGTATTTTGGGTGTTGTCCCATTTTTTTTGTCGTTTTATGTTTGTTTTAGTTGTATTGCTTTTTGTTTGAGGCGATTGATAGAATTATTTTTTTAGTTGGCTGCAAAATTGATGAGAATTTTGTATTTAAATTGTCTTTGGCTTTGAAAATTGTCTTGCAAGTGCAAAAGTTCGTCATGGATATGAATATTAATTATTTGATAGGGTTTTTTTTTGCATCCCTGATATTCCCATAGCACAATAAACTCCAAACATCTCCCCTTTCCCATTTATCACGAAAATAAATCGTCCCAGCTGCACCAACAAAACACCACAGAGTCAAGCAGGCACTCACGCGTGCTTATTTTTCTCTCTCTCTCTCGCTCTCCAAATTCTTGCTCTTCTCTCGGCAACAGCTGTTGATCGCAATTGCAGCACTGCGCGCGCACACACTTAAACACAGAGATTACATAGAGCATTGCCAGCATTGAGCATTTCATTCCTCTGATGGAAGAACAGCAGGTGTTAAGTACAAATTAAAAATGTTTAAGAGATGAACAGATAATTATCTAGAAGCGTCTTTCACTGGATTCTGGCTCCATCTACAACAACCATCACTCATTCATTCGTTCATTCATGAGTGTAGTTGTTTTTTTTTTTGTAGTTGTAAATGCGGAGCCAAAGGGCAACGCACGCATACCTCTTCAACTTTTTTTCTGTCTCTGCCTCTGCTTTTGCCTAACAACAATAAGAAGACAGCCGCCGAGGCAGTTCAGTTCCGTTATGCGAACTGAAGAGCAAAGCAAAAGGCGAACACGATGGGAGAGTGAGCGTGCAAAAGAGATTTAGAGGAGAGAGAGAGCGAGGTGAGCAGTGGAAAGAGCGATGGCGTGAGCGAGAGAGCAACACAATCACACGGTCGTCGGTCGTTTGAAAAATTGACAATAAAAACGTTCCCGAAAGTCAATGCGCATTTCACTTTTTTTTGTCGTTTCTTTTTCCTTTGCGCCCGTTTCTTGTTTCATCTCTTTTTTGGTTCCGTTTTCGTTGTTTTTTTTGGTATTGAAATGCGAAAGCGAAATTTTTTTGTGGTATTTTATCTGTTGATTTCTATAATAATTTGCATTGAAAATGTGCAAATGAAATAAAAATAAACTGCCTGCCGCCATGTGTGTGCCCCAGAGCAAGGTAGGGTATAAGCAGGGGACGGGACGGACTGGCGGCAAGGCGGCGTGTGCTCTACTATTTGCTTTTTCATTTCTTTTTATAAATATATTTTAATCAACTTTAAAGCACTTTTTAGCATTTGCTTTGCTATTTCTTTTGCATTTTAATTTACTTTTAATTTTTCTTTTGCCGTTGCCTTTTCATTTGATTATGCTTTTGCTGCCTTTGCTTTGCCTTTGAACTTTGCACACTGAAAAAACATTTATTGCACTTCTCTGTGGAATATTTTTATGGGCACTTTTTTGATTGGAGAACGAACGAATGGACGATTCAAAGGGTGGGCGGTAGCGGTGGCGGCATTTGGGGAAGGCACACAAAATGACACGATGATTTTCGTGTGTTACTTTTGCCACTTGAATTTATTACATATTTCTCTTTCGTTTTTCGGCAATTTTCGCTCTTACATTTGTTACACGGCGCGAGCAACGAACGGCGTCTCAGACGAGACTGACAAAACAAACGCCGATAAATGAGCGGCGGGGCAACAAGAAAACGGAACCAGCAAAAGAGAATGGAAGAGAGAGCGGGCCGATGAATGAGCATGCGCATAGAGCGCATGAGAGCGGCACAAGCTGGCAGCTGTTAATCAGCGGACACAACAGCAGCAAAGATCGTCTTTACAGAGCGATGTTAGTCGCAGATTGAATTAATTTTAAAGGGAAAATTATTAGGAAAATTAAAAACTTGGCCATTAATATAACAATTACTTGTTGAATGGTTTTCTCATTGATTTCCTGTCAGCAAACTTGATACAAGCATGAATGAATTACTGTCAGAGAGCGGATTGCGAGAGACAGAAAGAGCGAGGCAGAGAGAGCACGTCTCACTGTTACGTTTCGTTGCTGCTTCTGCTTCTGGCAAGTTGCCAATACATTGGAATTTGAAAACCGTGCGAACAACAAAAGGAAAATCGCTCCTCTTCCTCCTCACCACACACACTTCATCTTTTTCATCTGCTTGGGAGTACTAGATACACCCGACCGCCTGTTGGCCTTTTGTTTGGTATTTTAATACCCTTTAGTATGTTTTTCAAGAGTGGTTTGAAAGCCAAATAAAAGCTGTTATTAAACAGAAACCCAAAGATCCGGATCCGGACGATAGAATTATCTGTAAGGGTATCCCCAGCTTCGCTCACCCGCTGATTGTTTCGTTTTAATGTTTTGTAATTTGATTTCATGAATCAATTTCCATGACGTCCTCTCTTTGTGTTAAAGGTAACCCAGGAACGGGTTGAATGAGACTTGGCGAAAGAGGGAGGGAGTCAAAGATTGTGTTTGTTACCGCCCCACCATAATATTGAATCGAACGGTTTTAGTAGACATACAGTTTGACCTTCTATCTGATAACAGCCATGTAATAACTGTAATTCATTATCTGAATTTATTAAAGAAAGGGAAGTAAAGACGAAAAATACTCTTCCATTTCGGTGCAAATATTATAGCGTCTTTTCACATTGTAATTTACATATCAATGACACATTTTTACAGGTCACTTACAGTTGTAAAGCTTTACAGCTGATTTCCCAGCAATACTGTTATATAAGGGGTTTAAGGTAAAACGCTGAAATTTAAAATTATCTTATTACATGAATATTCTTTCACTTTAACTTTCATTTAAAATGGAAAATGCTGGCCGACACTTGATTTATATTCGAGTAGTGCTTGCTTACAGTATTTACTATTTGAAAGCTTAGTATTATTGCTGAACAAACTCGGAAACATAAATTTCCGAGATAATGCCGACATAAGGACTGCATTATTTCATCAGAGCCCAAACGGAGGAGTATCATAGATTGTGTGGTGAGCGAGAGAGCGCCCTTTCCTATTGGAATTCCAGGTTTCAAACAATTACCACTGGTTCTTATCAAATGGTCATTGACGTGTGTTTGACGTACTATTTTTTTCCTGTCTACGCTTTCATCTTTATTTCATGAGCATAGAAAACTGATAAGAAAGTAAACTTTTTATTTTCTTTATTTATTTGTACATATTTGCAAACCAATCTAAAATCAGTTATAAATAAAAATTAAGACAAAAGCAAATAAATAAAACAAAACGAGCAAAGCCAAACACGCACGCACACAATGTAAAACATTTACAGTAAAAAAGAGCGCGCCAGAGAGCGAGAGAAAGAGCGTATGGCGGCGGCGGCATTGTTCGTCTGGCATTTGACGTTTATTACTGTATTTTTTGTGCCTTTGCGCGCGAATTCGCTGCGCAATGCAAATTAAAATTAAAAGAGAGCAAAAAAGGTAAAGGCAAATGCAAAAGCAAAATTAATTTCTTTCCTCTACGAACGGCGTGGCGGGAGATAGAGTGTGTATGTGTGTGTGATAGAGAGTGAGTGAGGGAGAGAGCCATGACGAGCTTTTGACACATTTGCTTTTGTTTTTTTTTTCGTTTACACTGACTTTGTTCATAATAAATGACTTACCTGCTCTTCGATTAATTGCTAGGCCGATTCTCTGCTACAAAATCCAAAAATGTTTAAACATTATTCAATACGAACATAGAAACACACACGCACGGACGCACACGGACACAAATGTAGTGTAGTAATGTGTAGTAATTTGTTGGTGTTGGGGTTGCTGCTACTGCTGCGGCTGTTGTTGTTGCTGCTAATGCTCTTTCGTTGGCGGTCAGATGTTGCATTTTCAATGATTGCCGATGCACTCCTCTCCTCCCTTCTTCACATTTAATTAAGTTTAGTTTTTAACATATAATAACGTACGCGAAATCACAAACACACGCGAACACACGCACACACACAGCAACTAGTAATTCTGCTGTGCGAACAGAGGCAGAAGCAAAGGCAAAGGCAGTGCAGAGGCACACAGGCAGCGCTTACGAAAAAATGCTTATGAAAACAATTTCCATGGGAAAATCCACTTCACTTGGGTACTACTCGGCCGAGTAAAGGGTTTAGATACGAAACTAGTCCATTTTGTGTTGTTTTTGATTGTTTTTTAACGAAATTTAGTTGCGTGTTTTGTGTTGGGTGCAGAGAAAAGAGCACGAAGATACATATATATATATTTATATATATATTTCGGCAAATCAGCTGTTTATTCGATAGTTTATGGTCAGTGCTGGGAAATTATCTATGGATTAAATATTCAAAATGCGATATATCGAACGTACGATAGTGCGATATGCCCACGTAGATTATTCGATTAGAACATCGCGCTCAAAAGTTAGTCGATTTGAGCTGCTCTGAACTAAAAACAATATTATTGGTATTAGTGAGAGGATAAAGTTAGCTTTTCTAACAGGAGATCACATTGTGCTGATTAACTTTTTAAGCTGGCTTGTATTTGTAGGTGCTCAGGGAATACATTTAGGTAACATATTTTAAGCAATCAATTATGTATGCACATAATTTATAATTGTATTTGTATTGTTAAAACTGTTATTTTATTTATCTATCTATCATTTACAACTATGTAAATAGTACTTAAAACGTTCTTCCATACAATAGGTAGCTTTGCTGCCAATCGATGATTCCGAGCAATCGATACAGTCGTTAGAAAAGATGGCCACCACTGAAAGTTGTCTGGCGCCATTTCTCCATCTTGGATCTTGGTTTTGCGTGAAGTTGGTGTTTGCGGAACGCAATTATCTGATTAAATCCAACTCAAATAAAGATCGCAATTAAGATAAACGCATTGTTAGACGACGTTTTATGAGATGGCGCGCTGTAGAATGGCGGAAAGAGTAACGTATCTGGAGGATCCCTATAAATCGGAGAATGACAAGGATACTTACAAGTAAGTGAAATGGTTCGAAACACTCGTATACTCAAGTGCAGCTGACCCTTGCAGATCTCTTGACCTGAGCAATGGGCTGCGAGCTTTGCTGGTCTCGGTACCAACGCCCCACATTGGAGCACATCCCCATAATGCCTCCTGCTCCTTGTTGGTCGACCACGGCCCATTCGCCGATCCATGCAACTATCAGGGACTGGCGCACATGCTGCAGCATATGATATTCATGGGCAGCACACCGGACGCAGGGCAGAATGTCTTCTTTGAGCACGTGAAGAAACACGGCGGCGAATGCTGGTCGTCGATCCACAGCGAGGACACGCAGTTCACGTTTGAGGTGTCCGATCAGCACTTGGAGTCGAGTCTGGATTTCTTGGCATTCGCTCTTAAGAATCCCCTGATGCCGCAGGAGACCATGGAATGTGGACGCGCTATCGTGGAGTCTGAGTTTCAGCGGTTGGCCAAAAAAGGTGATAATCGTCGCAGCCAGCTGCTCGACAGCCTGGCCAGCGCAGGCTATCCGCACGGCTCCTTCCATTTGGGTAACATGAAATCGCTCAAGGACAATGTCAGCGACGACAAAGACCTGCACGCAGCTCTGCACGCTGCCTGGTGCGATAACTATGCGGCCAATCGCATGTACGTGTGCCTGAAGGCTCGTCTGCCCATCGATGTGCTGGAGTGCATGGTCATACGCCACTTTGGCCAGCTGCGCTGCAATGACATCATGGCGCCCGATCTGAGCAAGTTTGATTATCGCCACGCCTACCGTTCGGAGTTCCACGAGCAAGTCTTCTACGTTGAGGACGTGGACAACTGTTGCAAGTTGGAGCTGACCTGGGTGCTGCCCAGCATGCGTTCGTACTATCACAGCAATCCAGATAAGTTGCTCTCCCGCCAGATCTCGTACAAGGGAGAGGGCAGTCTGTTTGCCTATCTGCAGCGCCGCCACTGGGCCTGTCATCTAGGCGCTGGCATAGACGAGGCCTACTTCAATAATCACTCAATGCACGGATTGTTCAAAGTTTACATTTTCCTCAGCAGCGAGGGTTACAAGCACATCGACGAGGTGCTGTTTGCCACCTTTGCCTACTTGAAGATCTTCGCCAACAGCTCCAAAGAGTCCATGCTAAAGTTGTACGAAGATCAGCAGAAGGGTCAGGCGGCGGAGTTCCGTCTGCCAGATCGTCTCTATAGCCATGATGTCGATGAGTTGGTCTTCCGCAGCAAATATTATCCAGCCAAATATATACTCACCGCCAGGCAGCTCACCTACGACAAGAGCATGCGGCATTTATCCAAACTGATTGGCATTCTCAACAGTTTTAAGTTCAATCTAATGATTACCTCGCAAGACAAAGTCTACGACAAGCAGGAGCAGTGGTTCGGCACTAGATACACCAGCAAACCGATGCCCGAAAACTGGAAGGAGCTGTGGAAAAAATCGCAAACGCAGCGCATTGCTGAGCTCTTTCTGCCCGAACCCAATCCCTTTGTGGCGCACGACTTTACAATTTTCTGGCATGAGCAGGGCAGGCCCAAGCTGCCGCCATACCCCAAACGATTGATCAAGACGAACACCTGCGAGCTGTGGTTCCGACAGGATGACAAGTTTGGCAAGCCACAGGCCTACCTCTGCTTCTTTTTCCTCACGCCGCTGCCGCGCGAGAGTGCGAAGAAGTGAGAGATTTCCATCACACACACTTCCATCCACACTTCTGATGATCTTTACTGATTTCTGTTTATTTTTTGGCAGTGCTGCCATGTGCGACATGTACGCTTCAATGGTGGAGATGCACGTGCAAAATGAACTGGATCTCGCCGAAGAGGCAAATCTCAATTGCCGCTTTCTGGTTATGGACAATGGTTTGCGGCTATTTGTGAGCGGCTACAATGAAAAGCTTCATCTCATTGTGGAGGCCATTGCGGAGGGAATGATCAATTTTTGCGACACCATCGCTGAAAGACTATTCAGCAGGGACCGTCAGGTGCAGGGCAAAACCTACTTGGAACGCCTCAAATGTCCATGCACCTTCAGCAAGTAAGAAAGGCATCCAATAATATCTTCTACATCTTGAATCATAATTTGTGCTCTCAGGAACATTCTGCAATATGTGCTGGGCGAAAAGCCCTGGACAACCGAGGACTTGTATAAGGCTCTCAATGCCATCACGCTGGAGGAGCTGAAGACATTTGCACATAAATTACCGCAGCAGCTGTACATCAAGGCGCTCATTCAAGGCAATTACACGGAGCAGGCAGCCCACAAGGTGCTCAATGCGCTGCTCAGTCGCCTCGAATGCAAACCCATTGGGGACCAGCGGCTGGCGAAGAATCGCATTGTAAAGCTGCCACGGGGCAGCAAAGTCTTCTGTTTCGATATGAAAGGCACGCGCACGAATGTCACTAATTACTACCAATTCGGCGAGAACTCTTTGCGCGCGGAAGTCATATTCAATCTCATAAGTATGATGGTTAATTCGCAGCACTACCACACAGAAGAACTCAAAGCTGGAGGAGTGAAGGGCTGGACCCACGTCAATGCCGGCATTCTCGGCTACTACCTTTCGGTGAACTTTGAAGGTAATGCTGCAGCAGAAGAAAGTGCCAATACAATTAACAAAGATATGGACACATTGCGCCGTCAGAGTTGGATGTTAGTCCATCAGTTAGATGACCAGAGCTATGCCGCCATGAAAGAGCAACTTTTGCTTGTGGCGCTTGGCCCGCCCCCTACTCTGCTGAACGAGGTGGGTGAGAATTTCAACGAGATCGTCCAGGGCACCTATGTCTTTGGTCGTACTCAGAGGAAGGCTCATGTTATGCGCAGCCTAACCAAAGCGGATGTGAAGCGCTTCCTAAGTGACACGAATGGCAGAAGTTTGCGCAAATTGTCGGTGGAGCTTATTGGGCATAATGCGACAAATGTGGGAGAACGAGACGAGAAGTTGGACGATGCCATTCACGATTTTAAAAGCGGTCTTGAGATGTACCAAAAGGTCACAGTGCTGCCTTGTGTGGACGGGAATTGGCTTCAGATTCCAAACCAGGTCGGAGACGTCTGCAATTAAATATCTCAGTTTCATTGAATATTGTTAGCATTAGGCGTAAACTTTCGCACATTTATTACTATTTTTTTGAATCAATTGACCAAAACAGAACAAGGGGAACACAAAAGTCTGTGGCTGAATTTATGGGTTCAAGTTAAACCCAAGTTAAATTCGAGAAATGTATTAAACGTTAATTTCCGAGCATTAATCAACATCTTTAAACACGGATTTATGCTAAGGGGGACAGCGTCAGGCAGTCTGTGGTCTGCTCTTCCACCAAGCTGTTCTTGTGGCAGTGCCAGAGACTTGTGTTCATTTCCTTGGAGCAGTCTCAATCGACAGGATAGGGACCACTTTTATTCAACAAACTGTAGAAAGAATAAGTGCATAAAGCATTTCAAAACATTCAACCACAAAGTCGAGGAGTTCATTCAAGAGTTCGTGGAGAAACTGATGATTGACAAAGCTTCCGACTGGAACTGGCTCGTGGTTCCTTGAATAAGCCAAACGGCCAAGTAATCAACGAAATTAAATTGAATTATTTCCATAAAAATACAACAAAATCGTTCTGTTAACTAAGAATCAAATAAGTGCAAAATTAAACGTTTCGAAACCTTGAAAAATGACTCCTAAAACTGATGAATATATTATGAACCAAAGTGGCTTTTTCAGGGCTTTGGCAATGAATTATTAAAGTTATATATTAAAGTTTTCGTAGTAAATGTACATAGTTGGATAATTAGCAACAACAAAGGACTTTTGAATACAACAACAGCATGGGAAAAGCATTCTAAACGGGGGACCGCATCCTGCCATCTTGTCGCGCATTTAAATGAATTTAAATCATATACAAATCACAGCAATTATTTAGATCAGTTAACATTTTGTTTGATTTATTTGAACAAAATAATTAAACTAACATTTGTTGCATCATGTGTGTGACAAACAATTTGAATATGTCTCCCACTAATCGTTGTAGTAGCCTAGTCTAAGCCGCTTTACATATTAGGTAAATACATAAGAATATCGATGTGTGTGTGTGTAATATTTATGTACATGAGGAATTCAGTGTAAAGATTATAAATATAAGAACGTGGCAGGCAGACAAATACAAGACGAAATCACACAACATTGGAATTATAAAACTAAAACTATAAGTCACAGTGCGGGCATTTGGGCAGAAAAGAGACAATTCAAATGGATATTGCAC